AATAAATAAATGAATAAATAAATAAATACATAGATAAATACATAGATAAATAAATGGAATGAATGACTGACTGACTGAATTAATATTTAAATTTTTTTGCCGAGCATAATTCGTATATAAATCAATACGTTAATTCAAAGCAAACTTTGTTTGCGCGCAATCCAAGCATGGATATATTTGTTATGTGCAACGTTTATTTGTATAAAGTAAACTACGAATAAAAACATTTAATCATGTAGCTTTATTCAGCAAGCCTTAATTCACCTAAGAACTAATCTAGCGCTATAAATATATATATGTAATATATGCATAAGTGGCCCACTTTATTTGCACAGATGATTTTACAATGTCAAATGTTTTTTTTTTAACGTCGAATGTATTTATTACAGCTGGCCATGGACTATTCGTGAGAAAGAAGAAAACTTCTACCACGCTCTATAAACAGTTATATTGCATGAAGTTAGCCGTGCCCTGACTTCAGCCAAGAGACTAAACACACTTCACATCGTATCGCAAAAATACCATATTTTTTCTCTTCTTGGTTAGTTAATAGCAAAAATCTACTTTAGATATCTACTAAGAATATATTTCTTGCAAGAAAAGGGGATTTTTATAGTCATTTAGTGCGTTAACTTACCTTTTCTCATCAAAAAAACTACCCGAATCCGCCATCTTTTTTCACATTCTCGCAGAGCGAAAATCCTGTAGAATACCAGCCACAATGGCGGATTTGATCGCGTGACCTAGCCTCTTAGTTCAAGTCGTCTATTCACCCTCATTAGGTCGTGATGGAAACTGTTACTATCTCAGAGGGTCACTCCGTTATTTCTCCCTTCGCAGGGTTCGAACTGTTAGTTAGCCATGCCCTGACTTAGATCAGCCCAGAGGTTGTTTCAGGGTTCTATCTGTGAGTTAGCCATGCCCTGACTTAAATCAGCCCAGAGGTTGTTTCAGGGTTCAATCTGTTAGTTAGCCATGTCCTGGCTTAGATCAGACTAGAGGTTGTTCTCAAGGGTTTCAATAAAAAGTTCAAGTTTTGTAAAACCTTTTCTTCATTTATTCATCTACATACTTTTTTACAAACGGTTGTTTGTTAGAGCCCTCTTTGTACTAAAGGGATACTGTTGATTACTGTACCACACAAAACCACGTCATACAAGAAGTTTTCTTAAGATGACATGTAAATCCCAAGCTACAAAAATTGCACTGAATAGCATAACACAGCCTTGCGATAATCAAAGTGGGGGAAAAAAGAATGTATACCCTTTTACGATCCTAAACACGACTATTTACAACCAGTGTAATCATTATTTATACATATATCTTTATACATATCTTAGAGTAAAATATAGGTGACTGGTGCTGATTTCTTTCAATATTGATGTGTGAAAATTGKCGAAATAACAAAATGGAAATGTAAGTTAAAGACCAAGTGATAAAGTGCTGCAAAGACAAGACACTGTTCGCTGTCCAAGTGAGGAACTGCAAGGAAGTCTTCAAGGATTTTCTCGTGTGCTTTGGGTCACAGCAACGATCTGCTTTGTATAAGTGTGGCTTGGTAATGACATTACTGGAGATGGTGAATCAATAATTATAGCACGAAATGAGTTTTTGTAATGTTGCAGCCTGTGGGCATATATTAGCGGATTAACCGCGCTGTTAATGAAGAGAAATGGAACGCACAGGCGTCTGCCTGCAAAGAACCATTCAGTATCGATGCAGCTGGGACATTCAATTTCTACGTACACAAAAACTAGATACGGAATCAAAGCTACGATCATGCACAATAATATAATAAAAGCAGTTGAAACGAGCTGCTGTTCAATCTTGAGATTCCGGATTTGACGCCTTACATCTGAGCTTTCAACAACGACTGATGCGTTCCTTTGGGTAACATTTTCTCCTGATTTGTTGGCATCGATTCTTAGGCGTCTTTTTCGGAAAATCACATAAATGGCCCCGTAGGTAATAGATACTGTTGCTACTGGGAAACTGATGTGAATGTTAAGGTCAAGGTTGTGGTAAATTTGGTCAGGGATTTTCGCCAGTTGTAGCATTGCGAAGACAAAGGAGTGGGTATAGATAACTGCTACCACGATGAAGATCTTTCTTTTTGTAACAGAATTTCGGTAGTAGTGTGGGTAGGCTACCGCGATTAATCTTTCCACGGACAAAGCAGCGACAAGAAGGAGGGCACTGTTAACAGTGAAAAAGTAGGCGATTCCAGAAAAGTTCCCAACCGCTCCTGGATGATTATTTGCGCCCATGGCGCACTCAAACTCATGAGCAGCGAAGGCGAAGTCTGAAAAAGCCCCTGTTAAAAAGTCAACGACAGCTAGTGCTCCAATGAAGACAGTCACTGGTCTACGAAGCACTTTTAGTGGATCTTTATACAGTACGTAGAGAAGAAAACCATTCCCGGCGCTTGTGAAGATGGCTAGAAAAAGAGATATCACTCCTGTTGATATACAAGTAGCCCGACGAAAAGTCTCCCCTACTTGGCTTGTTTGGTTGTTTGATACCATTCTCCCTAAAACAAGATTATCGAGCGACGTTATACCAAGGCTTTAATCGCAGATTTTTGATTTTGGTTGAATGATACAAGATGCATGCACAATCAAAAGGCTTAAATACTGAAGAAAAAGCTCTTGTTCAGATACTGGACTTCGAATGACCTCGAAATCCCTCTTCACTTGCAGCCAGTGTTATATAGTGCAGTTGATTGACAAGGACCAATATCTAGTTTATTAATGTTAATCTTCATTAAATATTTACTTGCAGAAATTAGTTGAATATACATGTACAGTCACTAATAGTTTGACATGCTACTGAAATTAATCTGAATCGGTTTATGAGTTTAATTGGAATTTTCACCTGCTCTTCTGTTTCAAAAACACTGTGGATCCGAATAACTGCGATCTAATTCTAGTTGGATTTACCAGGGTGGAAGGAGATTATGACACAACGTTATATTTTTACAACCCATTAGTCTAACTAATGCATTTACCACTCCTACCTGTAAATGGCGTAATATGTCTAAGAGGCTCTCCAACGTAATCGATAAGGCAGCCAGTATATCGAATTAGAATTAAGAGTTAGAACTTCAGTTGATAAATGAAGGGCATCAATTCATAGAATGAACTGGAATCGGTTTATTTTTCTGGAGGAAGGAAAAACCGGAGAACTTTTAGAGAAACTCTCGAAACACAGGAGAGAACCAACAAAGAACCTACTCTCTTCACATACGAAACCGAAACTCGAGCCCAGGTCTCCTTGGTGAGAGGCGGCGCATTAGGAGCGCACGGCACCTGTGCTTAAAAAACTGTTGCCACTTGAAGCTCTTTCAATTCATTGACTAATTACTATTGAATAAAGTATTATTTTTATCAATGCACTTTTAGAGCTTAGAATGAGTAATCAGTAAAACTTAGAATAAAACAAGAGGCTTCAATCAAGTACGCTATCGATAGACAACCAAACTTGAAGACCTAAGTGATGAGCGAAAATTTCGAATATTCCAGATATACAAAAAAGAAACTTATTCAGAAAAATTATTTTAAAAAAACTATCACTAGGGATAAAAAGTTAATGCTAAATAAATTTCAAATAATTTCGTAGAACTTTGTGTTGTGTATTTTTCTTCTTTTCAAACGGTTCAAACTAAATCCATAAAAATGCGAAACTGAAGAAAAAGGAATGACAATTCCGGCTAGGGAAAAAATAAGCGATAAAAATAGTTCGTTCGTTTTTCTTTCGCCTTTCTTTTCTTTTTTCTTTTTCTTTTTTTGTTTGGTTAAGTGACTTAATCGTTCAGTATAACAACCAGCAATTAATTATATTGCTTTCCGGCTATTATTCTTTTGCTCGTCAAATTTTAAAAATCCAATTTTAGATAGAGTTTATATTTAGCTTGAGTTAGGTTTTGAGGAGATTTTTGAGGAGGTTTTGAGGAGGCCGGAAATCGATCACCGAAAATATAGCGAGGTCAGGGCCACGTTTTGGCAATACAGTCAATTCAAAAAACGTTGTCGTCGACCGGCTCAAGCCTACGCGACTGGACCGAAAGGAATATGGGTAAAAATCACTGAAGCGGTTTAAATATTCGTTCTGAATAAATTGTGCCCGCTAGTAATAAGATAATAATGGCGAGAAACAATCCATCAAATGTCTTTGGGGTTAAGGAAACAAAAACAAAGAACTTATGATTCAGTTCACAATTTCGAATATATGAAGGCATTTAAAAAACGTCTCCTTCAACACTTCCCGCTCGCTTACGAAGGTTCGTGCTGTAAACAAGGCATAACTAGTCAGATAAAATTATGGAGTCATCTCGGCTTCAATGATTGCTACCCAGATTTCCTTTCGGTCCAGTCGCGTAGGCTTGAGTTGGTCGACGACAACATTTTTTGAATTGACTGTATACTTGTGGCATGCTAGAAGTTTGACACGTTAATAAAGTTTATGTATGTATCGTTAGACTGGTAGAAAGCATGACATTTGGCTAAGAGTCAACTTGTAGAACTTATTTAAATGTAAATGTAAACTTTATTTAGGCAGGTTGGCCCTTTCAGATAACTTGGCTGGAATTATCAATAATATTTGTTCCAATATCGAATCCTAACTCGAATCCCAACTCGAATCCTTACTCTGTGGTTGGTTTGTCTCAGACATCCCCATCGTAAGTTAATCACCCATCCCCTGATATGGAATTCACTGGCACATCTTCTGAATCTGTTTCAATTGACATAAGGAAGCTTCCTACCAATATTGGTGTTTTAATTCTTGTGGTTAGTAACGATCTTTGCATTAAATCCTAGCCAAAAACCTCTAATCAAGGAAGAGACCTAACAAGCTCTACTCTCATGAGAAGAATTATTGTATCAAGGAAAAAAAAGTAAATTATGCACGTATTAGTGGCAGCGATTGATATACAATCTTTCGTGCTTTTCTCCAGGTTCTACGGTCTCCCCCCCTCTACAAACATTTACTTCAAAATCCAAATTTAAACATGAACGAGGGCCACGGGTTTGTTTGCTACTGCCTATAAAGTGTTGTTATCCTCGCAAAAACAATTCAAGGGCAATTTACTGCAATAGGGGAATTGGTAGGCAAAAATAAAACCCCTTTTATTTAAGTGTCTAGTCGTCCTAGCGCTTTTTTGAGATAAAAATATGTGCCCAAGTAATTTTGATAATTCATTTAAAGTACACCTTACCCCTACAGGATGTCTTCCTAATTTGAACTCATAAAATGAATAAGAATGGAATAAGAATACTATTTTTTAATATCTAGAGAATATCTAGCCTCCTCGAGAATTCGCTCAAAATGGTTGCTTATAGTGTAAGGTAAAACAATCGGTTGAAACAATTTTGGGCYTCATGATGGGCTATTGACTCATAGCCCATTCGAGCTCGAGCACTAATTGACATGAAACAAGAACTCAAGTCATACAGTTTCTTTCCCCTCTATTCCCAGCAAGATTCTTATTTGGTTAGCCATTACAAAAGGATCCGATCATCACGATAGTTTTTTCTTGCACTATTATAGATATACTAAACAAATAGTAATAATATAAGTTAACAATTTTAGAATTTGAATTACAGTCTATTTGTCAAATAGGTTTGAAGGTAATAGCGTATTTGCACTGCGCATTCCATCTGCGCATAACGTACTAAATAATAGAGTGCACTCTAATATTATTACAAAAAAAAAAAAACATTAGTAAAGCGCAATACGTGTAACAATAACGATTTTAAATGATCAAACGGCAAGTACGTTGTACTAACTAGCCTATTAAAACAGAATTCTTAAAACGTTCGGTATTTGTTTAGTAGACGATTGGCTACTCGGTGTTCTAAACAGCAGAGAAGCTGGTTTTATCTTAGGTAAAAGAGATGATTAGGATATAAGTATATATGAGGAATTGAGGTGTGGTTGCTTATTTTAACGAAGACCTCTCAGCAGTAGCTCTATATGTATTTAGCATAAACCTAGTAGCATACTATCACGAATCCTGCAATCTGATTGGCTAAAGTAGATAAACAAATGCATGCTCAAGTTTCGTCGAAATCTCTGCTTGTTCTCTAAAAAATCTTTAAAAATCGATTGTAGAAAAGACAAGACTGTATGAAGGAAAGGAGTTGAGGTCTTGAACGGTACAGATAGGTAAAAACTGAAGAATTATGGCAACCTTAACACGAAAAAGCGGCTGTCAAATTTCACTGAGATTTTCATGTGCAAACTTACGACGGACAAACAACTGACTACTGAGATAATGATGGCATTTCAAAAGGATTTCCTCAAAGAAAAGAAAAAAAATCCAAAAGATAATTTATTCACATGTATTCAAGAAGAATTTTAAACGGTAAGAACAGACGAGACAATTAAGAAAGTGGAAATTAACTGACAAAAATCTTATATTAAACAAATTGTAAACATGGCACGGCTTTGAATGATCTGACAGTATTTGTAAATAAATTATTTCAGTTTATCACTCATTGATTAGAAAATGATCCCAAGAACTGATAAGGTAAAAAATATTGGAAAGAAAGTTTAATTTGACAGTAATGATAGAGACAAAAAGCTATAGAAATCATAGAGCAAGTTTAAGCTTTACGTTAATACTTCGGGTCGAGTTCACAAATATGAATGAAAACAGTGTCGCTGGTTGACCGTCGTTTTGTTCAGTAAAGTTTTCAGTGTCATTCTTAGTTTTCAATACTATATTATTAGCTAGTAGGTTTATGCTAAAACAATTAGACTACGAGGTCGAGTTTTCTATGAGTCAAATAGTCTATCATCGGACTATCTATGGACTCATAGAAAACTCGACCTCGTAGTCTAATTGTTAAATATGTATATATGTATATATGTATATATGTATATATGTATATATGTATATATGTATA